ATTTAATAAGAATGTAACTGAATAAGTAAGTCCAAAGAGAGTCTGATATGAATTAACCTACCCCCTGCTGGTGATAGATGGAACTTCCTGCTGGCAACAGGGGAGAAGAGACCTCCACTTGGACTGCAGAGCTGCTGTGGCTCTTATGTTAACAGTATTGTGAAATGGTTTTATGAAATGTGTGTGTTGCTGTTGTTGCGTACCACAGAGTCAGAAATGACCCATAGCTAACTCTCTGGTGTGTTTTCAGGGTAGTTAATCATGCAGGAGGAGACTGTCTATCTTTCTCAAGTGGAGTAGCTGGTGGCCTCAAATGTGTGCCTTCCAGACTGCAGCTTAGCTTCCTGCCACCAGGCCACCAGAGCTCCTGTATATAAATAATCAAAGTCCAACCACTCAAGCATTTCTTTTTTGTGTCTTGCAAAGTCTTCATGGTCTGTGGTTTCAGTGTTTATCAAAAGTTACATGTTACTGTCTTGCAAACAGGAATACTATCTTACTCCAATAATATATTTGTAACAAGCACAGGGGGCTGTCTAATATAGACTGCAACTCTTTGCCAATATATCTATTAAGTAAAAATTAATTTTACAAAAGGTTTACAAATCTTGAGATGTGGCCAATTGTCCTCCCAACCCAGTTTGCAGCTGTTCAACAGCTGTTGAGACAGCACTGAAAACCACAAGGGTTACCCCTTATCACCAACCCCGCTCTCCCAACTCATGAAAGATCAGTGTCCTTACTTAGTCCAGAGACGAACTCTCGGAAGTTTATCAGGGAATCTCCATTTTCGTCTAAGAGCTGGAATAAGCGGGAGGCCAGCACATCAGAGTGGGTTCCACAGGCCCAGGGGAAGAGAAGAGCGAACATGCCCTTGAACTGTTCAAAGTCGATGCGGTACTGCTCCAGGTAAGGCAGGCTGGGGTCGTGCCGGTCCAGCGCATTGCTGCTCCCGCCCCAGTAGCAGCTGGTGAGGTGTTCTGCCTGAGGAACCAAAGAACAGAAGCTCAGTGGATACATCAGAAAGTTACCTTACAGCAAAGGGCACGAGGAAAAGGCCTATCTCCAAATGTGGAGAATGAACGTTAGTTACTCTATTCTTGTAGCTTTGCTGTCTCCTGCATATGAATCTCTAAGACACTACCACCCTCAACTCCATGCCAGCCAATTCTGCAGTCTATTATTGTTGTTATGCGCCTTCGAGTCAACTATGACTCATAACAACCCTATGCACGTATATCTGGTTTTCTGCATGAATGAACCAGGCCAATGTTTGGAGGTATGTAGAGAAAGGGAAATATTCCACCTTCTGTCCCTTTCATACAAACATGTAAGAATCAATTGTTTTTAAAGAAATAAATAAAATATTAAGCTGAAAAATCTTAACTGAGGTAGTCTTCCATAAAGTCTACTAGCTGACTCTGCAGTAGAAGACAAGCTATCTCCTCCTATGTGATTCACAGCCTTAGAAATCCAATGGAAGGTCAACTATGAGTTGGTTCCAACTCAACAGCAATGAAGTTGTTTTGGTTTTGTAGAAAAGGTTAAGAGTCCGGGTGGCACAGTGGATTAAGTTAAACAAAGAAAGAGGAAGCAGTGATGCATCTGTAAAGATTTACAGCCTTGGAAACCTTAATGGGTAGTTCTGTCCTCTATTCAGCCACCAGGAGTCAGAACTGACCTGAAGGCAGAAGGAGGGCTGTGGTGAAAACATGGTTAGCTACCCAGTCAGTGAGTACAGAATCATGATGAGACATTTTTGTTTGCTGATTCTCAGTTTCATGTCCTATTATTATACATACACAGCCTCCTTCCCTTTCTGCCCCATGAAACCATACAAATACTATCAGGAAAACAAGCCTATGACCACCAAGTCAATTCTAACTCATGGGAACACTCTTTCAGGCTTCTAAAGCTGCACATCTTAACGGGCGGAGACAGTCTTTCTCACACTGAGTAGCTAGTGGGTTCAAACTGCAAATCTTCATAACAGATAAGCTTCTAAAACAGCAGGGATCCAGCAATATTATCACTGACAGTGTTGTGAGGTGTCACTGAGTTGACTACAACTCATAGCGCCTCTAAAAGCAAAAGATCTGAAGCCTGTCCAACCTTGCACTGTCCTCATGATTTGTGTCACGTTCACACAGTCACGCAGCTTTCAATCTGCAAATGTGTGGTCTTCGTAGTTCACACATTTGCATATAATTCCAGGGAAATGACTCGTAGGGATCATTTTGGTGAGGAGAATAAAGATCTAGATTCAGCACAGAGTTTGCTATTTCTATCCTTGGAAACAAGAAAGCCTCACTATTCATGAGGTCACGATGGCTGGTGGGAACACACCAAAACATCTGGAAGAACAGACACACACACACACACACACACACACACACACACACACAGCTCTGGCAACAAGTGAGGAAAGCAGAAGGGCATGAAACAGTGGATGCTATTTTTATTCCCTACTGCACTGTTTCTTTTACTACAAGCACAGAGACAATGCAACAGGGAAAAAGGTACTTTTGAAACATGTCTTTTCCTTTGCTGAGGTTCTGAAAAAGGGGACAGGGGAAGTCAGCTGTGAGCGTGTCATCCTCCAAGTTCTTCTTACTTAGAAGCCAAGATGAAGGGATATCTATCACAGTTGTTAACCTAATGACCTAAACAAGAAAAAGACAGGAGTTCAAAGAAGAGGCAAATGCCACAGAGAGCAGGACCAATCAGGTTTCTTGTAGAGGAATGAGGAAGCTGAGTCCCAGTTCCTTTCCAAGCCATGAGAGGGAGAGCTTCCGTGGTACATTCCTGCCTGCAGGGCTAGGGCACAGAGAAGGAGGCAGATGTTGAGTTGGAAGCTGATTTGTCCTCTAGCACAGAATTACTGTGGGTAGAGCGCAGCAACCCTTGGTCTCCCGGAGCAGATGTTGGTGATGCATTCCTAGGAAACGTCCCATTTAACTAAGACAGGTTACATTCTGCTGAGTGCCCAAGTTTCTTTGGAACTATGTGCGCTATGTCTGAACTTGGCAACAGGCACCAACACCTGTCAGGTGAAGGGATGGAGGTAATCTTGGGAGCTGATGATATAGGGAAAAGGTATTTAACTGTTCTGTGCCTCCCATTCCTTCTGTGAGATGTGGATGATAATTATAGTACCTCCAACTCCCAGCTACCCCATGCAATCTACTTACGGCAGTGCCCGCACACAGGAAATGCTCAAGATACGTTAGCTCGCATAAGCTACTTAGAGGGTATGTTCCCAAAATCCAAACTATTGTTTTTCTTTTTCATTTGAAAAGCTCTTCTTGCTGAGCAGGAAATTTTGGATTTATTGATACGAAATACTCATGCATTGCCATTGAGTCAGAACTGAGTCATAACTGACCCTCCAGAGGATTTTTAGAAGCTGTTAACTTCGTGAGAGGAGGTTATCCTTCTCTCACAGACCAACTAGTGGATTCAAACTGCCTACCTGTAGGTTGGCAGTACAACTCCTTACCATTACTATTATTGATCATTAATGTGAGGGGGGGGAAGGAACAGCCTGGATACTCTGTCCTGTGCCCCTTTTCATTGGCAGTGTTGTCTTGTATGTCATTGAGTTGATTTCAACTTATAAAGCAGTCCTATGCAATATAGTAGCATTGTCTCACAGGGTTTTCCTGGTTAAAACCTCTACAGGAGCATATCACCAAGTCTTTCTCATGTAGATCCACTGGGTGGGCTCAAACTGCCAAGCTTCTGGTTAACAGTCAAATGCCCACATACTGTGTCGGGCAGGGCCCCCTTCCACCTGTGGTAAGTGGTAGGAATTCTGCAAGTGTTCTAAAGCAACTGACTTTAGAAGGCCGGCAGACAATCAGAACTCTCATACATCTCAGGCACAATGATAGCTCTCCTCATTCAAAAGCTTTACATGATTATCTTATACAATCTACTCAACAATCTTATGAATCTCAAATGACATTAGTGCAATTTTGGAGACTGGAACCATGAAAGGTTAAATACCAAGATTATACAGCTTTAAGCAGAGTTGAACACAAGAAAGTAAAATTTAGAAGGCAAGCTTTATCAAAGCTATATGCTTCTTGGCATGACCTAATCAAATGTA